AAATTATTCCTTTTGATAAAATCTACAAAAAATCCGAATAACATTTTTCTCTGAATTCAATAGTTCGGGAGATACGATGAAAAAACTAAAAAATTTACAAGTTCCTAAATAATCACTTGCCAATAGAAAACAAAACAAAAAACAAAAGGAAGTAAAAAAAGCACACTCGAGTGTTTTGATTTTTTCTCATAAACTACGTACCTAGCTCACTCGACTGTGTGGAAAAACCAAGACAGTCGAGTGGGCTAAGTACGTAGTTTGTGGGAAAAATCTCCAGTTCTCCGAACTTTCATAGCGTCGTATACACATCCTTGGTGCCCAATGATAGTTTCAATATAAAAATATACTCATGATATGGTGCCATGGGCTCTACTTCCATCTTACATGAGCAATGATAAAATATAATCTGCTTTTATAGCGTCGTATAAATTATCTGACCTCTGAATAAACTAATACCTTATGAAAACTACATCTATACGAATCTGATACTTTTCAAAAACTACGTACCCCACTTGTTATACGACGCTATACATAGTGGAGTATACTACGGCCGTGCCAAAAATGCTATCTCGGAAACTAAGCGAGATAGAGGTATAGTTGCTTTGGAGAAAATGATCCCCATCGAATTTTGAGCAACTTTGGTTTTTGTGTGTGGTCTGTCTGTCTGTCTGTCTGTCTGTCTGTACTCTGTGTTAATCATAAATCGATATATCTCCGGAACCCTTTGACATATCGACTTGAAATTTTGCCATCTTATTGTACTCAAAACAATATTATGTCATTGAAATATGAAGGAAATCGGAAAACTCTAAGGTGGTTTTTCCGGGTTTTTTCGATTTTTCACCGGAAGTTTCTTGTAACCACTCTACAAATCGCAAAAGTGGTCCGATCGATTTCATTTTTTGTGAAAAAAAACTCTATCAGGGAGAGACGAAGCCTATTGAAATTGAGCAGGGTCGGAAAATTCCAAGTGGATTTTTCAAGGAGATTTTCCGAAACACACGGTTCGCTTTAAAACGATATATCTCCTGAAAAAATAGACTAAATCCAAATTTGAAAAATGCACCGTATGCCTCTTTGATGACGCAACAAATTATTATTTAACCATTTTTTCGTACATCCATCGGAAAATGGAAAAACAAATGAAAATCCAAACATCAAAATTTGAAATCCTTTCAATTCAATATATATCGAAAACAAATGGAAAAATCGAAAATTATCAAGAGTGCAAAGTTATCCACTGGGACATTTCCTACAAATTATTTTCCATAATTTTTTCTGTTAACCCAATAGTACAGGAAATAAAGTGAAAAATATGAAAAAAAAAATTTTAACGACCTATAGGGTACTATGAAGATATATTGAAAAACATAGATTATCGATAGATGAAGCTCATCGACTTCCACTGAACCATGAAATATTTTTTCATTTTGTTGATTGGAAGATGGAACAAAAGTGTTGAAAATTTTATTCTCAGATAATTCCAAATATCTCGAAAACAACTGAAAATATCTCAAAATGTTATGGAACCAAAATTATTCCTTTTGATAGAATCTACAAAAAATCCCTATAACATTTTTCTCTGAATTCAATAGTTCGGGAGATACGATGAAAAAACTAAAAAATTTACAAGTTCCTAGATAATCACTTACCAATAGAAAACGAAACAAAAAACCAAAGGAAGTAAAAAAAGCACACTCGACTGTCTTGATTTTTTTCCCATAAACTACGTACTTAGCTCACTCTACTGTCTTTATTTTTGCCAATAAACTAAGTACGGGCTAAGTACGTAGTTTGTACGAAAAATCTCCAGTTCTCTGAACTTTCATAGCGTCGTATACACATCATTGGTGCCCAATGATAGTTTCAATATAAAAATATGCTCATGATATGGTGCCATGGCCTCTACTTCCATCTTACATGAGCAATGATAAAATATCATCTGCTTTTATAGCGTCGTATGAATTATCTGACCTCTATACTAATCTAATACCTAATAAAAACCACATCTATACTAATCTGATACCTTTCAAAAACTACGTACCCCACTTGTTATACGACGCTATACATAGTGGAGTATACTACGGCCGTGCCAAAAATGCTATCTCGGAAACTAAGCGAGATAGAGGTATAGTTGCTTTGGAGAAAATGATCCCCATCGAATTTTGAGCAACTTTGGTTTTTGTGTGTGGTCTGTCTGTCTGTCTGTCTGTACTCTGTGTTAATCATAAATCGATATATCTCCGGAACCCTTTGACATATCGACTTGAAATTTTGCCATCTTATTGGACTCAAAACAATATTATGTCATTAAAATATGAAGGAAATCGGAAAACTCTAAGGTGGTTTTTCCGGGTTTTTTCGATTTTTCACCGGAAGTTCCTTGTAACCACTCTACAAATCGCAAAAGTGGTCCGATCGATTTCATTTTTTGTGAAAAAAACCTCTATCAGGAAGAGACGAAGCCTATTGAAATTGAGCAGGGTCGGAAAATTCCAAGTGGGTTTTTCAAGGAGATTTTCCGAAAAACACGGTTCGCTTTAAAACGACATATCTCGTGAACAAATAGACTAAATCCATATTTGAAAAATGCACCGTATGCCTCTTCGATGACGCAACAAATTATTAATCAACCATTTTTTCGTGCATCCATCGGAAAATGGAAAAACAAATGAAAATCAAAACATCAAAATTTGAAATCCTTTCAATTCAATATATATCGAAAACAAATGGAAAAATCGAAAATTATCAGGAGTGCAAAGTTATCCACTGGAAAATTTCCTACAAATTATTCCCCATAATTTTTTCTGTTAAACCAATAGTACAGGAAATAAAGTGAAAAATATGAATACTGTCTGTAGGTTAATCGAGGAGGTGGTATATTCATTATTCCAAATTTTTTGGGATTTTCTCTCCTCGTTTCTATAAAATAAAAATATGAATATTATTTCAATATACGTGTAGTAAGGACAAATCAGATGATTTGCCCCAAAATGTCACTGCGTTTAAAGAATTTTCCTATCAGAGAGCCTAAAAGAAAAATTCACTAGCTTGTCAGTGACAATTTGTATTGAAAAAATTTTTGGAGAAGGGAAATAAAGGTATATAGAAAGAATATCAAATTTTCACTTATCTTTGGACGTTTCGGGACCGGTTCTGCTCCCGTTTTCAACATAAGGAGAGATTATTTCAATAGCGAAGTCGTATAATGTCTTGAAGCTTTTCAGTTTTCAATGACAATTGGTGACGTTGGCAATCAAATGAGTTACAGGATGTTTTCATTAATTGATCTTGAATTTACCATTTTCATGTTCAGATTTAAGTAGTGAATACCATGTTCTGTCTATATGGCAGAGTGGAATAATATTAAAATTATTGGAAAAGAAGATAACAACCAGAAGAGAAAAATCAAGGAATCTGCTTGCATTCTTCTGAACGGAGACAATAACATTGCTTCTTGTTCAGTTGATATAGACAGAACATGGTATTCACTACTTAAATCTTAACATGAAAATGGTAAATTCAAGATCAATTAATGAAAACATCCTGTAACTCATTTGATTGCCAACGTCACCAATTGTCATTGAAAACTGAAAAGCTTCAAGACATTATACGACTTCGCTATTGAAATAATCTCTCCTTATGTTGAAAACGGGAGCAGAACCGGTCCCGAAACGTCCAAAGATAAGTGAAAATTTGATATTCTTTCTATATACCTTTATTTCCCTTCTCCAAAAATTTTTTCAATACAAATTGTCACTGACAAGCTAGTGAATTTTTCTTTTAGGCTCTCTGATAGGAAAATTCTTTAAACGCAGTGACATTTTGGGGCAAATCATCTGATTTGTCCTTACTACACGTATATTGAAATAATATTCATATTTTTATTTTATAGAAACGAGGAGAGAAAATCCCAAAAAATTTGGAATAATGAAAAATATGAAAAAAAAAAATTTTAACGACCCATATGGTACTATGAAGATATATTGAAAAACAAAGATTATCGATAGATGAAGCTCATCGACTTCCACTGAACCATGAAATATTTTTTCATTTTGTTGATTGGAAGATGGAACAAAAGTGTTGAAAATTTCATTCTCAGATAATTCCAAATATCTCTAAAACAACTGAAAATATCTGAAAATGTTATTGAACCAAAATTAATCCTTTTGATAGAATCTACAAAAAATCCGACTAACATTTTTCTCTGAATTCAATAGTTCGGGAGATACGATGAAAAAACTAAAAAATGTACAAGTTCCTAGATAATCACTTGCTAATAGAAAACGAAACAAAAAACAAAAGAAAGTAAAAATTTCACACTCGACTGTCTTGATTTTTTTTCCCATAAACTACTTACCTAGCTCACTCGACTGTCTTTATTTTTCGCCAATAAACTAGGTACCTAGCTCACTCGACTGTCTAAATTTTTTGCCCATAAACTACGTACCTAGCTCACTCGACTGTCTTGATTTCCCACAAAGAAGAAATATGTTGGCAAAGTTTTAACTTTCTTTCGTTTTTGTTTTTTCAGTTCCTATTGGCAGTCGAGTTTGCTAGGTACGTAGTTTGTGTGGAAAAATCAAGACAGTCGAGTGGGCTAAGTACGTAGTTTGTGGGAAAAATCTCCAGTTCTCTGAACTTTCATAGCGTCGTATACACATCATTGGTGCCCAATGATAGTTTCAATATGAAAATATGCTCATGATATGGTGCCATGGCCTCTACTTCCATCTTACATGAGCAATGATAAAATATCATCTGCTTTTATAGCGTCGTATAAATTATCTGACCTCTATACTTAAATCTAATACCTAATGAAAACTACATCTTTCAAAAACTAGGTACCTCACTTGTTATTTCTATAGACCTCAATCGCAGATTCGTTTTCCCAATTCCACGTACTGTATGATGAATGTCAATATATCATACATCCCAAAACTCCATATGCCAATAAAAGTAACTTTTTCATTTTCGCAAAATGAGCATTTTTCTTGCAGGTTTTCAAAACTTGCAGACACTGAAGATAAACTAGGACAATTATTATTACTAAGGAACCGTAATCACAAATATTTCGTCAGAAGAAGTTACTACGGCTATATCGAAGATGATCATATACCGTTTTTGCAAAGGGGTAAGTGATTTCATTTGTAAATCTAGTTGTGAAATTTTTTCTTGAAAGTGGCTGGTTGCCCGACTGGTGTAAATCTCATATTGTCTATGGAGGAGGTCTCTGAGGGAATATAATGCCGACTTGATTTTTGTTTGGCTAGGTTACGCTTTGTCGGCGGTCTTAGCATTGCTGGCTGGAGACTGCCCTGCACTGATGAGAGTTAAAGTGCTTGAAACCGGTAAGGTATCTAGCGTGGCCTGGATGAATCGAAATCAATAGGCATTCAGGAAAGAATCACTTGAATCAGTATTCGTTTACACGAGTCAATGCATAGATTTTGGGAGGATGTAATTCAATGTTCTGCGTGGTATTAGCCAGGAAACTAGTTGTTTTTTTCCCGAAATCTGCCATTTTTGTTCATTTCATGAACAGTGTATGGAAATGACTTTTTTAGCTTTTTTATTTACAATATTTAATTTCCAGTTGCATCTGTGAATTAGGCAAATGTTCGTGAAAAAAAAAGTTTCTTTAGGATGGCAGTTCAGACGCGTCGTAGACTAACTCCACCAATCAAAAATTTAGAGTTATTTCCTTAGTAACCAATTCATATTGTTACATACAAACAAAGCGCGTCGTAAAATGTCGACGTTTGTTAAGAACAACTAAAAAAATAATCACATCGAATACAATTCGAGCTTCAAACTTTTCCAGGTTATACATCTCAAACTTCCTTCCTAAATTCAAATCATGTCAGTTTAACAGAATAACTATTTCAACTGTCAAACTGACTTGTAATCTTTGTATAACCCGAATATTTTGAAGTATTAATAGTACTACTACTGAGAATATTCCTTTTATCCGGAAGAAATAAAAAGTGTTCCTGATAAGTTTCATGTGAAACCTTTGTTCAAGACTGAAAATGCAATAAGGTCAATTCACACTCGAACAAAACCGAAAGATCGTATCATTTTTCAGATGTTCCTGTATTACATCTCATCTCTAATCCGTTTCCGCGTGAATGGCACACCCCAGCGGACAATAGAGACATAGTTGATATGCATACAGTTGAAAATATCAACAAAATCCTCAGAGTTTTCGTCGTGGAGTATTTGCATATGTTAGTAGACACAAACAGTCAGTGAATTTTGAATAGTTGATTCCAGTACCTCTAATCAGTGTTGCCTAACGTTACCAACCTTCGGATTATCGATTAGGCTTGAAATTGAACAGATTCTTTATCAAATCGTTACATACAGTGTGTCCCACTTACCATGCTCACCATGGGTGAGAGATACGAGGTCGGTTAAATGACACCAAATGTGGAGTTTGTCAAGGCCAACTATAATGTGAACAAATATTTTGATAAAATCTATTCGTTTTTGTTTTATACGCAAAATACAGATTTTGATCATTTTCATGTCTCCTCCGTAACTTCTTTATTTATGAAAATATTCAAATAGGAATTTCACATTCTCATTGCATTTTTTCAAAGTGATTTCGAAAAAAATATGGAATTCATACCAACTCTTCTAGAATTTCAGATATCAGCACCAACTTTAGTTTTTCAAATGTAGGTCATAGCTCACTATGACTTAGTTAAAAATAACTTTTTTTTCTCACACAGATGATATGTCGCAGTAATAGATTTGTGTTGATAACAACGGAGTTATCGTCATTTATACAAAAACAAAATATTATTCGGAAGCCGCCATCTTGAATTTATGAATTTTAACAAAAAAATCATGATCTCCGACCTCAAAAACCCCCACTTACCAATTTTGAATGGAATCGGACCAAATCTTGTTCGCCATCTTGGAGCAGCCATTTTTTTATATCTAACAAAAATTTCATAATGTATTGTCACCGAAATTATGAACACCAGCCAAATTTCAAGTTAATCGGAGTTATGGAATTTTTGTTGAAATTAAAAAAAATGGCTGCTCCAAGATGGCGGACAAGATTTGGTCCGATTCCATTCAAAATTGGTAAGTGGGGGTTTTTGAGGTCGGAGATCATGATTTTTTTGTTAAAATTTATAAATTCAAGATGGCGGCTTCCAAATAATTTTTTTTTGTATTAATGACGATAACTCCGTTGTTATCAACACAAAACTATTACTGCGACATATCATCTGTGAAAGAAAAAAAAGTTATTCGTAACTAAGTCATCTCCACAACATTTATCTGACGATCAGAGATCGATCACATGTTTCGGGCTTATATTAGCTCATCATCAGCCGAATACAAGAATTAGTTCTAGAAAAACTAACAATGACATAGGATATACCGGGTGTCAACGAATCTATTAGACAAGTCATAACTTCTAGACCATTAGGTGTATCAAAATGAGATTTGGTATACTCAAATGGTATGTGAAGAGGAGAGTTTTCACATATACTTCACTTTCCGGCCACTTCCGGTTTCACCGGAAATGGCACCGGTTCTAAATTTTTATTGGAACACCCTGTATATTGTAGCATTTTTGGATTTCTGAGACAATTCTAGATCAGAATGTGACATTTTCGGAAGTTTTTATGCCTTCTTGATTTTTACGGAGTCACTTTTGAAATTACATCTAGGTGGCCATGATCGGAAGTAAACTAATCTCCTATCCCTGTCCTCCCTAGGAATGCACGATATTCTTTGAACATTATAGGGATTCCCTTTTGTGCGTTCCAAGCGATAAAAAAAGGACCTCAGGGGATATCAGAAAATTACAATCGCAAATGAATTAGTATCGTTAGATTCGTCAAAATATCCTTTTTTTGGGAAATGCTTACAAAAGTAAATGAATTATTATTCATGGCACACTTGACAAAAGTAAATTAGTATATTATGTAACAAGTGTTATAAACGTCCTTTTAGTAACGAGTAGTTTAAGCACGAGCGGAGCGAGTTTTTAATAAACGAGTGACTAGAAGAGTTCATAAACGCGTTACATACTATGATTTTTCTAGGAACTCCAAAAATTACATTAATTAACATACCTACTATTCCTGCTAACCTACAAAATAATTCGAAAGAAATGAGAATTGAGAACATAATACATGCAACTGCATGCAACCAGCGAGACACGTATAAGTGATATTGGTTGTAGATATGTCCAGTCCATTGCTTACTAACCTTTGTTTCACGTTTATTGTCATGCTTAGCGCTGAATAAATAATTTGTTCTCAAAGATGGTTGCTTCATTTTTACACTTCTTGGAGGTATGTAAGTACCTGAACATTCTCTTCGATTTCACTCTCGTCTACTTTTCGCATATATTTTTAATGAAGAATTCCGATACAAACGAATATTGTTTGAATAATTCTGATACAAAATATGAAAATAACAGTTGACACTTGATACAATTGACAGGCCAGACATGTCTTAAATTACTGAAGGTGTGTTTAATGAACTGCGTTGCCATGGTAATGTGTTTAAGAAATCGGGTTGCCATGGTAACGTGTTTAATATTTTGATTAAATCACAGATCGACAATCCGGGATTAATCGATCATTTAGCGTGGTACATATCCGTACGCTACTTGTCTTATTCATATCTATCATCCTTGTCACTAAAACTTCGCGATTGTAATTTTCTGATATCACCTGAGATCCTTAGATTAGTTTACTTCCGATCACGGCCACCTAGATGTGATTTCAAAAATGACTTCGAAAAAATTATGTAGGCAAAAAAACTCTCGAAAATGTCACATTCTGATCTAGAATTGTCTCAGAAATCCAAAAATGTTACAATATACAGGGTGTTCCATTTAAAAATTTAGAACCGGAGCCAATGATTTAGATGATGTAAGAGAGAATAAAATGAATCTTACTAGGTATAATAAAATTATTAGTTTTTTATAAAAACATTAAAAAATTTGTTCATTGTAAGGATCGGGTTATTAATTTTATAACCCGACCATTGTTTTCCAGATCATGGTGCATACGTCTTTGTCTTGTGCCATTTTATTGTCTAAATTAACAAAACTTCAACTTTTTCATTTCCATGTGAGTAATTCATTGTATCTATATCCTATGTCATTGTTGGTTTTTCTAGAATTAATTCTTGTATTCGGCTGATGATGGGCTTATATAAGCCCTAAACATGTACCTTCATCTATAGAAAATAAATAGTTTGAAAAACTAAAGGAACACTCTTTTAGAGATAGCCAAAATGAACAGAAGTAGAAAATGAAAAAAATATTCGCACCTCCGTAATCAGTATATTCTATACAGTGTCTTTCAAAAGTATCGGAACGGTCTCATATTTCAGGAGCGGCTTGAGAAAAATTCACGACATTTTTTACAGGGTGATTATTGATGATGTCCGACTCAATGGTGGCATCGGCAATGTTGCCAAGTTCACAGTTTTTCAGATATTTAGGGTAACTCAATTTTTTCAAATGGAATACCCTATTTGTTTTTATTGCAATACATTCAGTGACGCCTCATTACTTATGTCTCCAAATATCAGAAAATGCCATGTTGTCATATTTCGAAAAGCACTTCAATTTAAAATCTGGTATTTGGAGACATAAGTAATGAGGCGTCGCTGAATGTATTGCAATGAAAACAAATAGGGTATTCCATTTGAAAAAATTGAGTTACCCTGAATATCTGAAAAACTGTTGATTTGGCAACATTGCCGATATCACCATTGAATCGGGCATCATCAAAAACCTTCCTGTCGAAGTTTTCATAAATTTTCTCTGAGCCGTTTCTGAAATATGGGACCGTTCCAGAACTTTTTAACGAAAATGCTATGTTGTCATATTCCGAAAATCACGTTAATTACGAATCTGATATTCAGACACTCAAGTAATTAGGAGGCGCTTAATTAATTGCAATAAAAATAAATGGGGTATTCCATTTGAAAAAATAAAGTTACTCCTAATATCTGAAAAGCTGTAAACTTGGCAACATTGCCGATGCCACCATTGAATCGGACATCATCAATAATCACCCTGTAGAAAATTTCGTGAATTTTTCTCAAGCCGTTCCTGAAATATGAGACCGTTCCGATACTTTTGAAAGACACTGTATATCGAAGACTGGAACCTTTGGCACGATAATACACTACACTGTTTTACCACTAACCAAAACGATTTTTAACGCCTCGACACGTGTTTCGCTAACTATGTTAGCATCTTCAGGAGAAGATCAAAACTGTTCGTTCGGAGGTCTTCAAGATGCACATTATTTTGAAGGGCGTTCAATTCTCTTTCCCAGAGTACCCTAGTTTATGATTTTTTGATGAGCAGTTTCCGAAAAATGCCGTTCTAAACTTACAGAAGTAATTGAAACATGCCTGCACTGAAATGCATTCAAAATCTTCCTACCATTTGGACTGAAGGGGTCAATACAATAATACCAACCTGAAAACCATGCATATCAGTCGAGATATCAGTGCAACCAGATGACGTTCCAGTGACGTCTTTTTTACGTCACTTGAATGACCAAGGTGACGTCGGTAGTTGACGTCGCATTGACGTGATAATGACATGAATAAGTCACAGCCCAATGACGTCATATTACTCACGTCGTATTGACGTCATTCATTCACCAAACTGTGACGTCCGACTGACGTCATAATGACGTCAATATGACGATTGAATTTGGTGATGATACGTGAAAAAGATTCCTTTAACATGGTGTGATAAACACCACTAGCCTTTGATGACATTATATGATATTGATTATGCATTGTTGAGTCTGCTTGGTGGGTGTCCCTCCTGTGTCATGTTCATTCAATCGCCTATTCAGCAGCGCCATCCTTCAGTACGCATCTCCATCAGAATGCAATCAGTTACTCGTATTTGTATAAAAAATTATGTAGTTTGTGTCGGCGAGATGTAAGCAAACAAAGAATAGTTTGATAGTAATGGAAAGGATGTTGGCAAATTTGGCTTCACTTTGTTGAATAATGTATGTTGATGCATTCTTTGTCATCCAATAAAAATCTAAATAGCAAATTATTGAAAAATTTCTTAAATGACGAAGCACACCAAATTGGTACGTCACACCGACGGGATTTTCAGACGTCATAGATACGTCACTGCAACGTCATAAGAGTAACGGTTTCAATATAGGTATAGTATAGTGTGTCAACGTTTTTTAGAAAAAAGTTTTTC